GTTGTAAACACTGTTATAGATCCTACCGTAGTATCAGTACAATCATCTTTGGCATTTTCTTCTAACATTACTTTCAATTTATCAACAAATTCTTTATCGATAACATTTCCTTTATTCTGGCCAGCCAAACTGGCCAAAACTTGCACGAGATAACCGAGACCGCACGTTCCTTCATTTTGTTTCACGCATTTCTCACACTTCACAGGCGGCGCTGCCACTTGATTAGAAATTAACACCAACAATAATCCTTTCAGAATAAGTAATTGCTGCAGGTGCATTTTAATAATGGCAAAGTTTCATTATCCATATCCACTTTTATAATGTGGCCCAAAAACAATAATATCTGCGTTGATCGCACTTCCGGATTCGATTGTTACCATACTTTGCGGAAATCAATACCACATCATTTTTTTTAATGCGATTTGCATGTAAGAAATATTACAAGAGCCTTTGTGATATCGAATGATATAATAAAAGTTTGTTATTAAATCAAGTGGGTACCATATTATTTATCTGATTACAGTTCGGTAAATATTTTGATGCGATTGTTTGATTAAATGAGTTGTAAAAGGGTGATTTCATAGCGCGAAATTTTGTGGATAAATCAATAATATTCATTGCAATATTTTCCGATTCGAAATTTCCAATTCATTCGCGGGATTTTTCGCGGAAATGAGATCGAAAGCACAACGTAAATAAATCCGTCCCCAATAAACCGATATACAATCAATGTCAAGTTCCGCAAAATCGACGTTATTCAATACCTTTTCGTATCGATATTTACGTTAGTAAAACATGCGTGTTTGTAATTTAATTCAAAACATACCGGTGTGTAAATGCGCGAACAATAACACGGGAAAACGGCTTCGATTGCACGCCTTCGATTCCATCGATCGGTAAATCGCCAAAAAAAATTCCAATTCGCGGGGATTTCCACGCAAAACGTATCGAAATGAACGAAAGGTCGATTGGAAATGCCCCGTCGCTGTCCGGTCGAATGAATAAATCATCCGGCCCGATTAGGAACTGGAAATTCACGGAAAACCCATGAGTTTTTTTTTTCGTTCTACGGCTTCGGGCCGGCGAGTTTAATCGATTTGCGAAATTAATCCCTGCAAATATTTGGCATCGTCAAAGCCGGCGAATTTTCGCTATTGCCCTTTATTACCCTCTATTCATTTCTTCCCTTAGAATCAACCCCCGGTTGTTATTAATTCATTCCGAAAGACACACATAATTCTAATTAAAGGCTTTATTCAGGATAAAAGAGGATTTTTTTCTGTGAAGAATTCGAAGTTAAATTAGCTTAATTAATTTTTCAATGTCACGCTAACGATCGTCCTCTCTAAATAACCGAATAGTCCAATTAAACGTAATTCACTTAAAATGATGCGAAATTGAATTAATATCGCGATATCGATCCGATTCGATATATGTTGCACCGGGAAAATTGCTATTCGTGTTTTCCGTGCGATTATTTTCCATTAAAAATGCGTTTTTCATCCACTAGAAACGATTAGTTCAGTCAATAGGCCATTCAAAGGAGACAATCCGTTTGATTCGTCAAATGCACAACTCATTCAACATGTTGTTTATTCAGAAAAAAGGTAATTCGTTTAATAATTGATTATCAAAAAAAGTATATCAATGAGCAATTCAATCAATGGAAAACTCACTTTTTTCCCTGATGATTAATTTAGAAGGTTAATGAGATAGTCTTGTAATAAATATGCAGCTCATTCGATAAATAATTAATGAACCAGTTCATCAAATAGTCAACTCATTCAACATTTTACTTATCATCTATTCATGCAGGGGAAAACTTACTTAACTGATATTTAATTCAGAATACATCTCGTTAATGAGAAAATTCACGTAATAAATATGTAGCTCATTCGAAAAATAATTCATGAAATAGCCAGCTCATCAAATAGCGTTCAGAGCACAACTCATTAATGGGATAATTCATGTAACAAATATGCAGCTCATTCGAAAATAATAAAATTCATGAAACAATCAATTCATCAAATAGACAACTCATTACTTAACTCATCATATGTTCAGAGGACTCATTAATGGAATAACTCATGTAATAAATACGCAGCTTATTCACCAACTAATTCATGGAATAGTGATGAGCCAGCTCATCAAATTGGCAATTCATTCAATTTTTAACTGACGAGTTTTAAAGTATAATACCTTCAGAGGAGAACTCGTTAATGGAATAACTCATGTAATAAATATGCAGTTTATTCATGAAATAGCCAGCTCATCAAATTGGCAACTCGTTCAATTTTTATAACTGATGAGTTAACGTATAAAACGTTCAGAGGAAGAACCCATTAATGGGATAACTCCGAACAACGCCGAATAATTCATCAACTAGCCAGCTCATCGAGCAGGCAACTCGCTCAGGAGATGATTCGCCTAATTTACGGTGTTTTAGGGATAGTTTAGGCGATAGAAAACTCGAATATCCTCCGAATAATTGGCAACGCGGTGCCGTGAAAAAGGCGAGAACGGTGTATTACCCAGCCGGTCGGATTTGCCAGTGTGGTCTATTTTTAAAAAGAAAATTTCTGTACCGACCGAACAGCACACTGATCCGTTCGAGTATTGTTTCATAATAATATATAATGCCTACGAAAATTCGAACCAGCGAGAATTATTCGAAGAAATGGGAGCGAAATTTCTCCAGCGGAAAATCGAGCTTATGAGATTAATTCTAAGATTTTTCAGGGGTATTCTAAGAGTGTATGATAGGAATGAATGAAGGTTTAAGGGAAGGGTGTAATTAATTTTTTTTTTAATTATTTAGCGGTTAATTGAATTGAGTGGTGTCTATTCAATTAACTTGAAACTGGTGTAAGTTTAAGTTCCTTGATGGATTATCCGGAATGATTTTTCGATTTGTTTGCTTAGCGCGAAGTTTACGCATTCGACTGGCGTTTATGTTATACAAAAGATTAAAATATACATTTTACGAGAGTTTTTATGAATGGACGCGAAACTAATATCAAAGAATCCGTTTAAATCCGAAGAGGAATGCTTCGATAAATATCGTAAAAACCGTTTAGAGTACTAAAACGAATTCGAAAAATACATAATAATGCAAAGGTCACGGGTGCTCGAATGTATAAACTGGAATAAAGCCGTAAAAAAACGCGTTTTAATAGAATTATATCGAATTCTTTGGAATTTCCAGTTCATTCGGCTCGCTAAAAATTTCCGGAATACCTTTAAAACATTATTATTCAAAACCCACTGTAAATACACATCCCGAATAATATAATTAATCGCCGAGAAACGTTGATTTCTAATTTACCGGCTCTTTTACAACGCGAGAACGAGCCGGGTCTGTTTAATTTCGCGTATAATTTATTATAATACATTTCGCTTCTTCCACCAGGGCCCATAAATCAGCGAATTTATGCTTCCAGTATTCCGCTAAAATATTTACAATGCCCGCACAATCGTGTGCAGGTATTTATCTGTACGTTTTCGTTGCGTGTGCCGCCCGATCGATAATAATTCGATCGAACTGGATAACGTTAATTCGCAATCAAACTGATTAGAATACGCGATAGGAATTGAATGAATAAATCGCTCGGTTTTGGATTAAAGTGCGCCAAATATGGACTGGACTTATAATGTGGATCACCGCCATTTTAAGAAGAACGTTCTTTATATCGAGTAAATGATCATCACACACTAAGCATCACTTTTCCCTTGACTCATCTGGCAGTGATCGAAGATGCAGGAATATATTTATGACAGCTTTTTTTTTAGTTTTCTGCAACGCGCGATCTAATTTTCTAGCGAATTTTGGGAGTTTTTTAATCCAAAAAATACTGTTTTATATGAAAGTGGTTCAGACCAAGAGTCATGTTGCAATTAATTGTATTAAATTTTAATATTCTGTAGTATTCCGATTTTCTGAAAAAATAATAATCTCGAAATGAGTAAGTATCACAATATGGACCAGTGGCACGTTTTAAATATGGAAGTGGCTAAAAATGATTTTTTATGTTCTAGAATGGCTTCTAAAACAATATAGAGAAGACCAGACAAGCATGGGGTAAAAAACGCAATGGGGGAGGCAATTAAAAATGCACCAGAAAAGAAAATTTGATTTTTGAATGCTTCCTAATCATACGCCCAAAACAAATCACTTAATGATATCACCACCCAAAAACTTGGGAGACAATCAACATTACCGAGTGAATTGGAAGATGAATTAGTCAATTATATTCTAGAAATGGAAAAATCTGGATGTGGTCCATATTATATTCACTTTCTGAAAGTTCATAACTTTAGAAAATGTTATTTATTCAAAGATTTTGTTTTTTTTGTAGAAATTTATTATGAGTTTTTCTTAACTAAATGGTTAAGGAATTGTTTCATATAAATAAAGCTGATTAAAATGTAAAATTCGACTTTTTATTGAGAAAAGTGCTTATGAAAAGTGCTTATGATCCCACTTCCTCTACTTTACTGTTTAGGAGTTTAGGGTATTTGATATAGTGTGGAGATAAAGGGCTAGTTTTTCATTTCATGCAGTGATTTTTTCCTTTCTAAAAAATCCAAGTTTCGCCGATGAATAATTCAAAGTACATGGAAGTGTGAACTGGAAAGTAGTAGGTGGGATATTCCCGATTTCCCCCCCGAACGCGGAACGTCCTTGAACCCAGAATTTGACCTACATCCGTAAGAAGCGCATACCAAAAGGGATAAACAAAGACTCCCATTCTAGCAGCGAATGCAGCAAATCTACAGCGCTATAGAAGGCCCCAAAACGCCTTTAATACAAGAAGAACACCAGCACGATATAATTACAAAACCGCTCCAAATAACACAAATGCTGTCATTTAGCCAAAAATAACAACACACAAGCGTATGTACAGGCGTAGAGAAAAATTTCCACGAATTATTTAATTCACCGTACAACATAGGAAAGAAAATCGCGCGGCGCGTTTCATATAGAGAAGATATAAAATTACCTGGGCCAAGTATAGACCCCGGACACCTCGAAGCCGTAGTGCCAGGAGCCCGAGTAGGCGCCCTGTCCCTTGGGCCCCGTGCAGACGCCGTGGCCGTGCGCCTTGCCCTCCTCCCAGCCGCCGCAGTAGGTGCCGCCGTCGTCGAAGTCGAACCGGCCGCCGTTCACGTGACTCCTGGTGGTCGCCGTGCCCGTGGCCCCCGTCGAAGTCGCCCCATTGTCGGCCGATGGCGCTGCCGCGGGTTGCATGTCGCACTACACCCGCGGACGCTGCGGCATTTTCTGACTACCACACCGCCGGTTTGCGCGGCGTGTTCGTGTTTCGGGCGGGTTTTCGCTACGCGGAAAATCGTGCACGGGTGTTACTTTTCTTTTTTTTTGTGGGTTTTTGTCTGGAGGTTTTTTTTTTGTTCGTATCAGCTTGTTCGTTCGATCGGCATTGTTCGCAATGACGGTTCGGTCGGCGCGGACGTACTGACTCCCGGGGACCAGCTGAGCGGACGTCGCGACGCCTCGGAGATGGGAGCGACGCACGCGTCGTCGCCGTTATCGCGCGTCGCAGCCTATTTGGAAGCGCCAGCGGCGGCGCCGCGACGGTTCGGGCTCTCTACTCCATTTTTTTTGTTGCCCTTTACTACAAAAGTAGGCGCAAAATTACAAAAAGTATTCGAAACGTGATCGTCTCTTTCAGTGGGAGTATTTCAAATAAAGAAAACAAATATTTTATAACAAATAAATTTATTTACAGCTACATTAAACCCTAACAGTATTCCAAAAGTGTCACAAAAGTATTCCAAAGTATTACTAAAGTGTTCAAAAGCATCCCAAATTCTTTCACAAGATCAGAGAAGTGTGAGAATATAAAAAGACCATTTTATAAGACAATATGTTAAGAATTACATTAAATAGTATTCCAAAAGTATCCCAAATTATCACAAAAGTATTATAAGTATCCAAAGGTATCCCAAAGCACGCTTTTCCCTTTCACAAGCTTAAGGAAACGTGAAAACCTTAAATAAAAACATAATTTTTCAAGAAAATTTATTTACAGTTATATTAAACAGTATCCCATGAATATTCCATAAGTAAAAGTAACCCAATAGTATCCCAAAGTATAACAAAAGTATCCGCAAGTATCCCACATATAATGTTTGACTCATTCACAAGATCAAGGAAGTGGCACAAAATAAAAAAGACCATTTAATAAAAAAGTATATTTACAGAGTCATTAAACAGTATGCCCATGAATATTCCCAAAGTGAAAAGTAACCCAAACTATGCCTGTAGTATCCCAAAAGTATTGCAAATGTATCCCAAAGTATCCCAAAATATGCTTGACTCATTCGCAAGATCAAGGAAGTGGGAGAATATAAAAAAGACCACTTTATAAGAAATATATTTACAGTTACATTAAACAGTATCTCAAAAATACTCCAATCGTAAAAAGTATCCCAAACTATCCCAAAAGTGTCCCAAAAGTATTCCAAAAGTATCCCAAAGTATTGCAGAAGTATCCCAAAATATACTTGTCCCTTTCACAAGCTCAGGAAATGGGAGTAAATTAAATAAAAAAATACCATTTTATAATATAATATATTTACAGTTACATTAAACAGACTTGTAAAAAAATTATAAATTTTCTCGATTATTGTATTCAAAATGCACTTTGTATACTTATAAATATTGTAGAAAATTTCAATTTGCCGCGCTAAAATAAACAAAAAAAAAACTGAAGGCACGAGACCCAGTACTATTCGATACTTCATCGACAACCCAAATAAATAAATTCTAAACGAATAATAATAAAAATTCCGAGTTCAAGTCGATACAATTACATCGAAGAGAGATCCTCCGGTTTCTCGTCTATTTACTTGGGATAGAATTTCTTGCTGGGGTCCTTGGCCATATCGAGTAGAGTTTGGGCCGGTTTGAAGGGCACGCCGTAGGAATGCTGGAAGTTCTCCATTTTAGCCACCAACTTAGCGGCCCCGTACTGATCCACCCATCTGAAAGGTCCGCCGGTGAACGGCGGAAAACCTAAACCGAATACTGCCCCAATATCACCTTCCAGAGGATCGGCCAGGATTTTTTCTTCCAAACACAAAACGGCCTCGTTCACAAACCTAAAACCCAAAACGCACAAATTATCTCACCTTTGCAACCCTCAATTTATAATCATTCGAGTTCACAACAACGAAATTTATAGCAAATAAGTACCTAGTGACCATCCTCAAAGTCTTATCCTCATCCTCGAACGAACCCCTCGGTTCGATCGAGTACTTCTTAAGTATCTCCAACGCTTCGAAATTCACCTCGCGGCTCTTCTTCCCCGCCTCGTAAACGAATATCCCTTTACCGGATTTCCTGCCGAGGAAGCCCGCTTGGACCATGTCTCGCATAACACCCAAATCACCACCGGCGAACCTCTCACCGAACGCCTATAAAAAATCACCTCCGTTAGCTCCAGTTAACATTTATAAAACACCTTACTTTAGCTAGATTAGGCCCGATATGCGCGGCCACATCGATACCGACTTCGTCAGCCAGCGTGGCCGCCCCCACGGGAAACCCGAACTTCTTAGTGAGCCGGTCCAGGTCCTTGGGATCGACGCCCTCTTGCAGCAGCCTCACCGATTCGGCCATCATGGCCGACAGAATCCTGGTGGTGTAGAACCCGGGCCCGTCGCCGACGGTTATCACCACTTTACCCTGCTTCAGGCCCACGTCCACGGCCATGGCGGTGGCCTCTTTGCTGGTCTTGTCCGTGGTGATGATCTCGAGCAGCTGCATTTTGTCGACGGGCGAGAAATAGTGCATGCCGATGACGTTTTCGGGCCGGGCGGAGGCCGAGGCGATCTGGCCGATGGGCAGGGCGCTGGTGTTCGAGGCGAACACGCAATCGGGCCTTACAACCGCCTCCACCTCTTTGAGCACCTTGTGCTTGATGTTCAGGTCTTCGAAGACCGCTTCGATGACTATGTCGGCTTGTTTGAACGAATCGTAGCTCAACGTGGCGTTTAAATTCGATAGGAATCGATCGCGTTCTAATCTATAATCAATATTTCATCAATTACATTGCAGCAATATTGAGTGTTATTTCTCCTTACCCTGATATCTTCTTCCTTTTCACGGCTCCGTTCAGTCCGGTGGCCACTTGGTTGACTCCCCTAGCTAATCCAGCGTTATTGGAATCTTTTAAAATAACTTGGTAGCCTTTGTCGACTGTCACCTATAAGATAACTCACTTTTATAAGGGTATTAAAGAGGTTTTGTTTACTTACTTGTGCGATACCAGCTCCCATTAGCCCAGCACCGAGTACAGCTACGGATTTAACGGACTTGTTAGGCTTGCCGAATCTGTTCTTTTTACACTGCGTTTGCCCTTTGAACAGGCTAATGAGACCCTTGGACTCTGGAGTGACGGCCAGTTCGCCGAAAGCTCGGGCTTCTTCCTTAAAACCCACGGCTTCGCCTTTATCTAACGAAGTTCGAACGACTTCTAGTATCTAAAACGCATCACATAAAGTATTTCATGTAAGTTTCACCGTACGATTTCCTTACTCTCAACGGAGCGGGGTACAATCCTTGCGACATCTTCATCACCTGCTGCTTGGCCTTGCCGAAGATCTGATCCTTGACGAAGTTGTACTGCAAAGCGAACGCCATCGCCTTGTCCATCAGACTTTTTTCCCTTTTGGTTTTCAGTTTCCCGGCCGCCAGGTCTTTGGCCACGCCGATGGCGACCTTCTCCAGGTAGTTCCTGGTGTTCTCCTCGGGCGGCGCCAAACCCGGTCCCAGCGGATCCACCAGCAAGTCCACGATGCCCATTTTCTTGGCCTTATCGGCGCGCAGGCTTCTCCCCGTCAGCATCAAGTCGAGCGCGTTGGGCACGGACACGAACCGCGGCAGCCTTTGAGTACCTCCGGCTCCTGGAGTTTCGATTAGAATCACTCTTTAGAGTATATTGTACGGAGCTATAGAGTATCTATTGAGCTGTGCTTACCGGGTAATAATCCCAGCATGACTTCGGGTACTCCCATGATGGTTTTCTTGTCTTTAACGGCGATCCTGTAGTGCGCCGCCAAGGCGGTCTCGAAGCCCAAGCCCAAGCAGGAGCCTTGCACGGCCACCACGAACGGTTTCTTGCTGTCCTCGATGTCCTGGAGGATCTTCTGGCCTTCTCTCGATTTGTCGGTGGCGTCGTCGACGGTCTTGCAGGCGTCCAACATGTTGATATCGGCGCCGGCTATGAAGCATCCCGGCTTCCCGGAGATCACCACGCACGCCTGGATGTTCGAATCGGCTTGGACTTTACCTATAACGGTCTTCATTTCGTTGCCCACCTCCTCGTTGAAGCTGTTCACCTAGAGTTAATTTAGAATTGCTTTTTATCGGAAATAAACAACACAAAATGGTACGCTTCACTAACTTTATTTAAACTTTAAATCAACTATCAAATACTTCTAGAAATAAGTAAGTTTGGAGTTAATCGGTTGTAGTTCGAAGGAAACACAATAAACGTGGAAGCATTTCTTTTACTTATTTTAATTTTACAAATTAAATGCCTTTCAACTTCAAAATAAAAATAAATAAAAAAAATATAATGGAATACAAGCGGTACAGTCACATTTTAGCCTTTGTCAAGCAATCTACCATATCTTCGATGAGCGAATTCCATTCGACGGTGTACCTTTCGGCGTCGTCCTTCGAGGTGCTCAACAACTTCTCGGCGTCTTGCACCGTCTTGTTGAGCTCCTTGATGATCTCTCTGTGCCGATGGAGAATCCTCGATTCGACTTTGGACTTTAGAACGTGCAACTGCGGTTTAGGAACTGGCGTAGGATCGGGCGCCGCCATCATTTCCATGTTGTCGGCGTTGTTCTGCAAACTGTAGTAGCTGGGCGAGCCGTCGAGCATCAATTGCTGGTCGATCTCTTGGTTCGACGTTTTGTTAAACGAACTGTCGCCCCCTTCCAATTCCTTCACCCTATCGGCGTACCTCAGCGTGTTGAGGGTGTTCTCGCAGGAGCTGACGCCCGGCGATACCATGGCTATCATGCAGGTCTTGGCGTTGGCGCCGATAAACGAATCTCTAAGCACTTGTGTCAACTTCGAGCCTCTGAACGGTAAGTGGGCTCCCTTTCGTCCCAGCGCTCTGATGCACTCCTTCAGCGACAACAGCGACTGGTTGATCTCCGAGCCTTCGATTCGGGTGATTTTCGACGAAGAAAACGTATCGGCGCCCCGCTCGTTGCCGGCCAAATCGATGAGCGAGAATTTCCCGTGCAATTTTTTCACGTTGCTCGACGATCGCAGGTAGATTTGAAAGACGGCGTGCGATCGCGACGAATTCGAATTGGCCGAGGTCTGGCCGGAGGCGCGCTCGTCGCTGCCCATTTTGATGAGCTGCAATACCTCACCGACGGAGGACACCGCCTTCTCCGTCAAACCGACGATCTGCACCTGGTGCTTGTCGTCCTCGAGGATCTTTAACGTTTGTTTGTTGTTCAACAGATCCGACACTTTCTTTACGTAAATTTCGAAAAAGCTGCAAGACACCATTAGATTTAGTTGGCTGTATTTCGGCGAGTGGATCTCGTTAAAGATATCCGAGGCGGTTAGCGCGTAAATACCTTTGTCGTTTGGATCGTTGAAGTTGCCGCTCATGGTGAAGGTTTTGCCCGAGCCGGTCTGGCCGTAGGCGAAGCACGTGGCGATGCCCCCTTCGAAGACGGTCTGCAGCAACGGCTGGGCGGTGTATTTGTACACGATGTCGTTGTCGCAGGCCTCGTTGAAGGTGTAGTCGAAGGTGAACACGTGGTTGTCGAGGTACTTGGTGAGGTCCACTTTGAATTTGGGCTCGTGCACTATGAGCTGGTTCTTGCTGGGTATCGTTACTATGTCGATTTCCTTTTTGAGCAAATCGGAATTGTTTAATGGTCGTTTTCTGACGGCTACCGTTATTAGATGGTCTTCGATTTTGTCTTTCATCGATAGCGGTTTGATTTCGATTTTGTTCTGGTAGTTTTTTATCATGTTCAACAGCTGCCAGTGGGGATTGCCTTGGTTTTTTTTGAGGAATTCCTCCTTTTCCGCTTTCACTTCGGCGTTTTTCTTTCTACGTTCGTTTCGTTCCTTTTCGAGTTTATTGAGCTTCTTCAACGTCGAAGGTTCCTTAGTTTTTGCTACTCGTTCTATGGCAGATCGTGCAGTCTTAGCGTTCGTCATTCGCTTATTTTTAAGTATTATTTCGCTCATAATGGAACGTTGTTCGTTGCTTTCTTGGGTGAGCCTCGGCTTGGCCGAGTGCATGCGGTATTCTTTACCGGCCGACGAAAGCCTCCGTTTGCTCTTGTTGGTCATGCTGTCGTCGAGCTTGGACAGCTTGGGAAAGCAATCAGCACTGAAATTTTCTCGCTTGGCGTTCCTTACTATCTGCACATCGGGATTGAGCGAAGTGATGTTGGAAAAGTGGATTTCCTTGCCTTTGATCTCGCCATTTTCGAACCACTCCACTTTGGCGCAATTTAAAGCGTAATCTATCGCCGATACCACCGCCCCCTGAACTACTCCATTGCTTCTTCTAATATTTATTGAACTTCCGACATTTAGGATAGTCATATTAAATGTAGTTTTAAAATTAAAATAAAAAATGACACCTGTCAGTACCAAATATGTAAGTCCATGGAAACAAGATTACTCATAATTTGAGATCGAACCGAATGGAGGTCATTGTTTCGTTTGTAGAGCCAAATTTGGAAAATAGTTCGGGGAATAAATACCAACCTTTACACCTGGCGAGTCTATCGTTATAACGCCTACATTGTCCACTACTTTCAGTTTTAGATGCTTGAGTTCTGCGGACGACATACATCTGGCTTGAACTGCGGAAGAAATTAAAAACCGATAAAAAACCGATAAAAAATATTGAATACGTAGCCCTATTGATTTCACTTACATTTGTGGTGGATTTTTATAAAATTCCCAGTTTTAGACAGAGCACCGAAAAACCGCAACGACATTTTCGCAATCTAGGGAAGACTTTTCGACTTTCAAAGTTTTAACCCCGATCGGCAGTTCAACATCCAGAGATAAACGGGTCTAATTTAATTTAAAATTATAAAAAAAATGGACTTTGAGCCTTAAAACTGAACTTAGAACTATAACCTAAAAATAATACTGTCACTGTCAATGTCGAATATGTCAAAAAATATAAAACGTCACAAAATTATATTAAACGCTAACTTCATGCCAATGATTCATAATTCCTATTCGTCGATCCACGTGGTCCACAAAATCTTCTGTTTTTTCTAAATGTCATTTGCTTATCTCCGCTACTTCTAAAACTAGAAGTAATAAAAGAAAAATATTTATTTTCACTTTCTAAAGGGTTTACAACCGAAAGGATGGCTGAATCAGGCGAAACGTTATCCAAAAAGTAAGTCAAACCGCTATTATCCCCTTACTTACTCAAGCCTTAAACCTAACCTAAAAGATGATGCAAACTTTTCGCCTAATAAGCAGGCGTTTCGCAATAAATAAAGGATTACCAGAAGCTACCAAAAGGTACGTTGAATCTACCAACATCTCGTATTAATTATGACTTTTCTTTCTATCGCAGCGAGCTCAAGAGGCGAATGAAAGCCGAGCAAAAAGCCAAAGAGAAGGCCGAGAAAGCCGATAAATTGGCGCAGCAAGTTGTCCAAAAACCCAAGGAGACCAAGGTAAACGAGGAAGAAATCAGTCCCAACGAGTACTTCAAACTAAGATCAACGGCCATTGAAAAGCTCAAAAGTTTAGGCAATGAACATTCTCCTTATCCGCACAAATTTCACGTTTCTTCTTCGTTGGAAGATTTCATCGCCAAATATTCGGATCTAAAGGAAGGCGAGGTTCGGGAAAATGACAAACTCAGTGTTGCCGGTCGAATACACGCCATTAGAGAATCCGGCCCTAAATTGGTCTTCTACGATTTACGAGGAGAAGGTACCAAAATCCAGATTATGGCCAACGCTAGGTACTACGAAGACGAAACCAAATTCATCGAAGATACAGGTACGCGATAATAGTATATAAATACTTGTATATTGTTTAAATTAACTTTAAATCCACAGAAAAACTTCGGAGAGGAGATATAGTAGGCGTCGAAGGAGTCCCTACTAAAACCAAGAAAGGAGAGCTGTCGATTTTGCCTTCGAAATTGAAACTCTTGGCCCCTTGCTTGCACATGTTGCCCCACCTGCACTACGGCCTCAAAGACAAGGAAACCAGGTTCAGGCAGCGGTACCTGGATCTCATATTGAACAACAGGGTGCGCAAGATATTCGAAGTTCGCGCCAAAATAATCGCCTATGTGCGCCGGTTCCTCGACGAATTGGGTTTCCTGGAAATCGAAACGCCCATGATGAACATGCAACCGGGCGGGGCCATCGCGAAGCCCTTTATAACCCACCACAACGACTTAAACATGGATTTGTACATGAGAATAGCGCCCGAATTGTACCATAAAACCCTCATAGTAGGCGGTTTGGACAGGGTGTACGAAATAGGCAGGCAATTTAGGAACGAAGGCATCGACCTGACCCACAATCCGGAATTCACCACGTGCGAATTCTACATGGCTTACGCCGATTACAACGATCTCATGGCGATCACCGAAGAATTGGTGTCCGGAATGGTGCACAGTATACACGGGAGCTACAAGATCATGTACCATCCGGACGGTCCGGAAGGCGAAGCCGTCGAAATCGATTTCACGCCGCCTTTTAAACGATTATCCATCATTAACGTGCTGGAAAAGGAGCTCAACGTGAAAATCCCGACTGATTTAACCACCGGCGAGGCGCAGAAGTTGTTAAACGATCTGTGCGTTAAGCACAACGTCGAGTGCACTCCGCCGAGAACCGCCAACAGGTTGCTGGATAAGCTGATCGGCGAGTTCATAGAGGAGAAGGCCATCAATCCCACGTTTATTATAGAACATCCGCAAGTCATGAGCCCGCTGGCCAAATGGCATAGGTCCATACCGGGTTTGACTGAAAGGTTCGAATTGTTTGTGATGAAAAAGGAAATTTGCAATGCTTACACGGAACTGAACGATCCTGTGGTGCAAAGGGAGCGTTTCGAACAACAGGCGGCGCTGAAAGCTGAAGGGGACGACGAGGTGCCCCTTTTGGACGAAGATTTTTGCAAGGCTCTCGAGTTCGGTTTACCGCCGACAGGGGGCTGGGGTATGGGTATCGATAGAGTTGCCATGTTTTTAACGGATAACAACAATATTAAGGTAATTTTATCGACACTACGTGTTTGTAGTTATTAAGTGCATATTATTTTTTACAGGAAGTCCTGCTGTTTCCCGCTATGAAGCCAGACGATCCTAATAAGAACAAGGACAATGAAGCCGCAGGAGATGTTGTTCATAAGGAATAATGTTAGGTGTATTTTCGAAGCACCTAATTTTGTATTTATTGATAAATAAAAGTTTTCTTTGCAATTTCGGAAGATTGTAATAAATAAGTTACCTAATTAATCAATAATAACAATAATTTATTTACAATGATTGTATGGTTAGGTATACACAATTGAGCTATGAAATTGTATAGTAAGTATTTTAATAGCAATACATATAAAAAGCCCTAATGTTAAAAGTACACCGAGTATTTCGAATTAAATCTAGTTCCCTTTTTCGAACGATTTAAGTACAGGATGAGCCGGAGTGACAAAGTTCAAGACCTCCTTTATTAGATGCCGTGAAAAAAATCCCGTACAACTTCTCCAGCAAACTCCTCTTGGTGTCCCTAATTATCGACGAAATACTCAACTTTCTCAAATTAACGCGACACCCTGTATTCATGTTAAATTTTCTAATTAGAGCTACCGGCAGTAATCATACATCATCGTTATCGGTTTCCAAAGGAATAGTGGAGTTGTAGTGCTCCCCTAACCTGTACAAATGCCTGTGATAGGTCAATATCAGCTCGTCTCCTTTGAACTGCTCGCCCTGCAAAGTCGGAGGCCCCGCGGCTTGGATGACTTTAATGGGGCACTTTAAGATATTCGACAGGGCCTTTAACTCTAATTGACCTCCCCACAGTTTGGTCGTGGCTACGTCCTTACAGTAATTTTCGAATTGTTCTTCGCTAACTATCTCGGATTCGTCGAGTTCATTGCACATGAACGGAAGGAAATCTTCTTTGTTCTGTCGCATGAAATCGGCCGTGGTTTTCCTCAAGTCGTTCACCGATCTAGTCGACTTGCCTAGAAAAATTTAAATAATGTATACGATTAATCGATTTCTAAAGGATCGAGTTTGCAACCTGTTACTTGCAGTTGGTGATTTACGGCCAAGTATAAGCAATTTCCATCGGCTGGGATGTTGTGCAGTTTTAAGTTCATCGATTTAAGTACTTGTTTGATGGCGTTGGTTTCTAGAACTCTAGGGCCTTCTCGGTTCCTTTCGGATTGTTCTTGTATCCTTTTCTCGCGTTCTTTGGCTTCCGCTTCCTTTTTGTTCCTCCTTTTTTGGGCCCTGGAAGTTCTGGTACTGGTATTGTTGTCTAAAAGTTCCTCTTGTTCTGGTTGCTCTTCAGTCTCATTTTCTCGGTTTTCATCTGTTTCTATACTATTTTCAGCTGGTGGGCACAATTCGTCTAATTCTTGCTGGTGTTTCTCGTTTAGTTCTAATTCTAATCTGGCTATTTCCTCTGTAATTTCTTTCTTTTTCTTTTTGTCGCCTTTAGGCGCGCTTTTCTTGAGCGATTGTATCTTCGCTTGCAGGTCTTTCTTCTCCTGCTTGTGCTTCTTCAGTAGATCTTCTTGAGTCAAATTGTCTCCTTCCATTTTAGATGAAGATTCGAAAATTAAATTTAAACGTATCCCAAAAAGTGGTCGAGTGGGAAAGAAAGGTTATGTTAATTTTCGGAATAGAGGTCAAAATAAAATAATTTTATTCGAGTGGGAAAGAGAGACGAGAGGCCTTTCAATCTCTTTCTTTTTCTAACATGTAATTTTATCAAGTGCGTTCGGGAGTTAAAAAATATATAATTTGTTATATCATGAAAACTACGAAATATTTTACATTATTTTAGAAATTGTACAACGCTTTTTATGTTACTTATTTAACTGGTTTTATTTTAGAAAGCCGTAAATAGCCAATATGTTCATAAATTATATTCATATCCGAACGCACCCCACTCCCCAGTCAATTGCCAAGTTTGACATATGACATTTGTCTTTGCGCTAATGACAGTGACAGTTTACTCAAAATGGCTGTTCTTGTTGTCGTATTTGTTTAGTTTTAGATTATTTTTTTATTTAATTTAAACGTATATGGATTAGGCCCCAAAACGTTTCTAGTGTTATCAAAATACTGGTAATTTTACTCAGTATTACTACACAAAATTAGGCAAAATGTTGAACACAAGTTTCTTGTACGAAAAAAGACCTTTGAAAAAGCCTCGAATAGGGCCTCCTGACGTGTATCCCCAGGAGCCTAAACAGAAAGAGGATGAACTTACAAGTGTAAATGTAAAACATGGTTTCCCAACCATGACCCACCTAAGCGATGAATTTGGAACTGCCAGAAATTGTAATGTTCCAGCTAACAAGGTAAGAATTTACTTGTTTTTTATCCAGTAATTCTCTTATATTATGAAATGTGAATTAAGGTCGGCGCTTATTTCAACGCAATTATCGCTCGCAAAGAGGAAATGTCCATGTTACCCGACTCGGGCAGGAAAAGACAACAAATAAACCCGAAAGACAACTTCTGGCCTGTCACAAATAGAACCAAAGCCCCTCTGGAAGCTTGGTTTAAAGATCTAGCTGGAAACAAACCGCTAATGAACCTCTCGAAGAGGGCACCAAATTTCAACAAGAAGGAGGAAATATTTGTAATGTTAACTGAATATCAAGTTCCTATGTTACGAGCTGCTTGGTTTATTAAACTCAGCTCTGCTTACACTGTTGCTGTGTCCGAGGCCAAAATAAAGAAAAGACAAATGCCTGATCCTACTACAGGTGAGCGAAATATTCCATTATTTTGTTGTTAGTAGTTTTTTGAATGCATTTAATTTCTAGAATGGACTGGTACAACACTAAAGTTCCTAAAAGATCAGATACCGAAATTACAGGAGTACTACTGTCAGAGCGATAAGCCTCTAAATTCCACCCTTAACGTTGCACATACAAACGAAACAGAACAAAAACTCGCTCTACGTCATTGGAATTACTGCATAAGATTATTGAAATACATGTACGAAGAAGGTATAATATAATAATATGTCTAGAATATTTCGGTTTACAGCCAATGATTAATTGCAGGTTTAATGGACAAACAGGAGGTGTTAACTTGGATAATAGAACTTTTGGAAAAGCAAAAATCTCAGCATCCCGGCGAGGATGGTATCTTGAGATTATTCCTGCCTCTTACTCTGCAGTATTTAGACGAATTTGTCCAATCGGAGCTGCTGTCTCGCCGATTGTCGCATTTTTGCACGAAAAAGCTGGGAAGTATGCTTAGTACTGTTGCTGATACTAACATAATGACATCACCTCCGAGCGACAGTAAAACCGAACAAAAAGACAATGATAAAGACAAAAAGGAAACCACACCTTCGAATCCTTACCAGAGTACTATAATGGAATATCAAAATTGTCTCCACCATCGGGACATAAGTAAGTCTTATTCGAGAATATGTATTAGTACAATAAGTAACGTTTGGATGTTTCAGTTATACAAATAAGTACTGTGGTACAAACGATTGTATTAGAATGCCCCACGGCTTTGGTTTGGTGCGGTACTGGTGTAGGAACAATGTGGCACGGTTCTCCTTTAGATATCTTACCGATATTACCCTCATCGTTACCGGTACCCTCAAGATGCGACATGAATACATACAGAAAACAGCTAATATACTCTGAAAATAGCATAAGAGAACGAAGCAAAAAAGCCGAAGGAAGATGGTGTACTGACAAGTGGCAGGCTTCACCAGCTGGTACATAAATTTCGTTTTTATTACCAATAAATGGTTTATATTTAATAAATAATTTTAGGTACTGTTACTACAAGAGTCTTGGCCGCCTTAGACGCTTTAGATCGGCACCGATTCGACAAAATGGACTCCTCGAATTCGCTGGACACTCTCTACGCCAAAGTACGTTTTGCACCTAATCTCGAACGAAATTCCTCTTACGTTCATTGTAGATATTCAACAACAGCGATCAAGAGAACGAAGTGGTGAAGCTTCTTTGCGAATGGGCCGTCTCTCCCGAGAGAACCGGCGAACACAGAGCCCTAGCGGTCGCCGCCCTCTTAGATCGAAGACAATCGGACACGAACACAACGGGCGATCAAGAGGCGACTCCGGGCGACGATAAAGATTCGAACAGCAGCGCTCCCGGCGGTCCTCCCATGTTCCAGTCGCTTCTGATGAAGTTCCTCGACAACGATGCGCCGCTTCCTTCGCCCGACGATTGCGCTATGGTGCGTTTTTTAACTCGGCGTTATCATAAGTTGTATTATTTGTTAATTTGTTTTAGAAAAAAACGGCGTTTTCGAATTTGGTGCACTTATTTTCCGAGTTGATTCGACGCGATGTGTTTTCCCACGACGCCTACATGTGCACGCTTATATCCAGAGGTGATCTCTTGGGACCCGAAGAAAATACCGACAACGTGTTAAATCACCATCACACAAAAATGGAGGTGCGTATTCAACGCGCTAATTACGCATTTTAATTAAGATAATTCATGAATTTCCAGCCGATGGATTGCGACGATAACATCGACCACGACATAGACAAAATCCTCCAAAACATCAAGGAAGACCAGCAGAATTCGATGGACTTTCCCGACAGCCCGAAGGAACACGATCACGGGCATCATTCGCACGTTCCTTCCACCATCGGGCACGTTCCGATGGAAACCGATCACAACGATCACAAGGTCAAACCTTCGAGGCACTTGTTGTATACTACTCACTTTCCTCTGAGCCAAGACGATCCGTTTTCGCAGCACGATTGCAACCAGCGGCACGTGCTCTTGTACGGAGTGGGAAAAATCAGAGACGAGGCTCGGTAAGTTCGGAGTTTCGAGCGAGATGTATTTGTGTAATACATTTAGGCATTTTTTTACTGCAAAAATCAAGGATTTGATTCAAGGTGTATGCATAAAAAGAAGTGCAAAGGAAGAGATTTTGCTTCGAGGAGTAGCTTCAAAGCAAAAAGTTTTGTGGTTTTAAAACCTTTTTCTCTTATCTTTTGCCTCTACCTTTTACTACAAAGTAAATGCTTCATTTTTTGATAAATAATGACTATTAATTCTTTCATTATTGCAGGCATACCGTTAAGAAAATGTCGAAGGAAATTTGCAAGCTATTTTCGAAGAAATTCAGCATCGACGTGGCCGAAGGCGGCAAAGTGAAGAAGCAACGGAACGAATTCAATTTCGAGGCGACCACGCAAAAGTGCCAAAGTTTATCGTACTTCGATCAACACCTGGTAACTTGGCAATGCAGCGTTACCGTCATCGAAATGTTGAATTCGTTCGCTACGGGAAATTCGAATTATTTACCAGTACAGGTCGGTGTAGTTATCGAGCGCTGTCGATGTAATTAATTTATTTTACATTTAAATTGTAGGAACATATAGCGTTTCTATTCGACCTAATGGAATTGGCTCTAAACATATACGGATTGATCGATGTTTGCATACAAATCCTAAAAGAACTACCCGAAGTCGAAACGCAAGTATGCAACAAAAACTTAGCGTTAAGCAGAAACTACACGACTTCGTTGAGTTTATACGTAGTCGGTGTACTAAGAAGATACCATTGTTGTCTATTACGTAAGTACATTACGTTAATAGTTAATCATATTAATTCATACTCGGTTTACCAGTATCGCCTGAGCAAACGTCGGCGGTGTTCGAAGGGCTGTGCAAGGTGGTCAAGCACGTTTCGAATCCGGGCGATTGCAGCTCGGCCGAGCGCTGCATCCTGGCCCATCTCTACGACCTCTACTCGTCCTGTAGCCTGTTGAAATCCAAGCCGCACGCCGTCGAACCGTTCGGCAACGCCTATCCCAAGATCAAACAGGCCCTCTACACGTCGCCGCAACCGACGCCCAGCAACATATACATCTACAATTCGCAGTACATGCAGGAGTTGTTCGTTAATCCGCGACGGGCCGGCAGGATCGACAGCGTACTGGCCAAGCAGTTGAACGAAAACGGTAGTAACAGGTAATAATCGAGAGAGGTTATTCGTGGCGTTTTTGGTTGAATTTCGGTTTGTTGTAGATACTCGTTCGTGAGTAACGCTATAATACACGTTTGTCGCGAGATGGACAACGAGAAATTGAACGATTTGGCGATTTTGTGCGCCGAAATGACGGCTTGTTGTAACTCATTGGCGTCCGAATGGCTGGGGGTTTTGTTGTCGCTGTGCTGCCCTCTATCGCATCCCGGTTACTACGTGGAAGTTTTAAACGAGCTCGATATACAGGTACGCTCTATATTCTCCTTTAATAAACTCATTTCTGTAGCGGCTCGTTTTGTTTTGTAGGACGTGAGCATCCACAACGCCCTGGCGGTTTTCACGTGCATTTTAATCGCCAGGCATTGCTTCTCGCTGGAGGATTTCGTGCGGCGAGTGGCGCTGCCGAGCCTGCTAAAAGTAAGTGCTTTCAAAGTAAGTTTGCGTGTTCGGTTTGCCTGCGGACAAACGTACCGGGCGATTTGCCGCGTGTCTCAAAACGGTTCGCGTTTTAGGTGAAATCTCTGGATAACGGCGAAGTTCGGGCCGAGGGCGGGATGAGATTGACGTGCCATTTGTTGTTGAGGCTCTTCAGGACGGCGGAGGGGCCGCAGCCGGGTTTGTATTCGGTTGGGTCGCCGCCGTTGACCGCTCCCAGGCCGCCGCTCGGCGTCAGGCTCAGCTGCGACAGGCATTTATTGGCCGCCGCTCATAGGTAGGTGGTATAGATTTTTCGTGGCCTGTCAAAATAGCCTAAAAGACAAAATCTCCCAAGGCAAAATAGCCCAATGACAAAATCTCCCAAGGCCAAATCGCTCAAGGAAAATAGTCCAAAGACAAAATCTCTCAGTGCAAAATAGCCCAAAGACAAAATCTCTCAGTGCAATATAGCCCAAAGACAAAATCTCCCAGGACAAAATCCCTCAGTACAAAATAGCCCAAAGACAAAATCTCCCAAGGCAAAATAGCCCAAATACAAAATTTCCCAGGGCCAAATCGCTCAAGGAAAATAGCTCAAAGACCTCAGTAAAAAATAGTCCAAAGACAAAATCTCTCAATGCAAAATAGCCCAAATACAGAATCGCTCAAGGAAAATAGCTCAAAGACTAAATCTCCCAGGGCCAAATCGCTCAAGGAAAATAGTCCAAAGACAAAATCCCACAGTACAAAATAGCCCAAGAACAAAATACCCTTAGACAAAACTTTTGTCTTTGGGTTATTTTGACGGGGTACCATATTCTATGATTTATCTGTGCGAATTTTAATGAAATTTAATTCTTTCAAGGAACATTCACGTGGGGCCGGTACTGGCCGTACTGAAGGCGGTGCTTGTAGTGGGAGATGCCACTGCTAAAGAGGGAACGGAATTGAGTTTGAGTAATATTTTAGGTACTAGTGATTTGCACAGCGGCGGGGACGGTCCCAATTTGGATTTACCGTAAGTTCGTAGGATTAAAATAGAAAATATACAGAGATTGTTGAAGTTGATAGAGTGAGTTTATCGGGCATATACAAACGTTGTTTCCACGTTAGCGGGAAACTTACGCAATCTCTGTAAGAAACATCGCTTCATTTATTATTTTTTTTATTTGATTTGATTTGATTTAATTTACTATTTTTGTTGTTTCTATTTCTTTTTGTTAGGATGAACGTGGATGTTTGCGGTTCGAGGACGACACATAGGTTTGTCAAATCGATATAATTTTATTTAAAAGACAATCATCGCTTTGCATTGTTTGTGTCACTTTAAGCTTGCACCAATCTATTCTGTCGCAGAACTGTCTGCCATATAAGAGGCCAAAAAGTACTTTCATTTTATTAACGATAGTTTGTGTATAGTCGAAAGTACTTTCGGATGGTGGTTTGTTGCAGTTTCGTCTGCGATTGCAAAGCTTTTTTTACATTCACGATTCACCTAAATATTTTTAACATCCTTGTGTGTGTGTCTTCTAATTTTCTGTTTATTTTTTTTACCTGAATTTATAATGTAACACAGTAAACTTGGTAATGTCACATATGTTATACAAATGCTTTCAATGTTAAATTAACTTGAGATCGATAATGTATGTGATTGTGTTTTGTACATATTACATCCTCGGTATTTCAAAATCGGCCTTCCTGTGTGACTGGAAATGTCGAAACCCGTGCATTTCCCGCAAAAAAATAGAAAACAGCATGATTTGCCTTACCGATAAACTTGTAAATAACAATTTAATCATCCTGCGCAAAGAGTGTTAATCGACTGTAAATTGTTTTTGTGTCTATTAACCATCGAACTCGTCAACCGAAATCTACACGATCTATTCCCCCTCTAGGCAATCGAGTACCGGCAACGCGGAGAGTACGGCCTCTCTATCGGCCTTCGCCTGCCACGTCCTGCGAGAAATATGCTCCCAACAATGGGTACTAGAACGCTGCCTTTCGTCCGAGGAACTCTGCCACGTCGACAACCTCCTCGATCCTCTCCTATCGCACTCCCAAGCCCAGCGGCTGTTGCACATGATCTGCTACCCGGACGCCGGCTCCGGCATCGATTCCTTGGACCAAAAGGCCATGATCGCGCGCATCCTCGAGAACCTCGAGCAATGGACGTTGCGCATGTCGATCCTCGACCTCCAGCTGATGTTCGAGCAGTTCTCGCCCAACTCGCCGGAGCTGTCGCAATGGCTCGACACCGTCGCCAAAGCCGCCATCGACGTGTTCCAGTTGAACGCGCCCCACGACGCCCCGGCGCTCGACGACAAGAAGCAACAGACGTCGATTTGGCTGGTGGCGCCGCTCATATCGAAGCTGCCGTCGGCGATCCAGGGGCGCGTGCTCAAAGTCGCCGGCCAGGTGCTCGAGAACGGCGGCTGGTGCAAGGAGCCGAGAGCGAGGTCGAAGAGCTGCGGCGGCGAGGCGCAAAGCTTGGCCACCCACCAGCCCTTCTTGCAGCTGGTGTTGACGTGCCTCAAGGGCCAGGAGGAGGGGCTGCGTGAAGGTCTGCTCGGTTCGTTGCACCAGCAACTGTCGCAGCTCGTGCAGCAGGCGAAAGAGGGAAATTTGCAAGACGTCAGCGGGAGCGATCGATTGGACGGGTTGCAATTGCGATTCGCTTTGGTCGGGGGCGTTTTCGAGGCGTTCCAGAGAAACCCGTCGGCCACCACCGATTGGGCGTTGCTTTTGGTGCAACTCGTCACGCACGGGTTGATCGATTTGCACACGCACAGCGATTTGTTTACCGTCGTGGTGGACATGCTGGCGACGCTGGTGCATTCCGCTAAGGTGACCGACAGCCAGGACGACAGGAAAATGTACCCGAATTTGTTGAAGAAATTGAAGAAGGAAATCGGCGATAAGCAGAACGCTTCGCTGCAACACATCCGACAGTTATTACCGTTGCCCCGGGTGCAGACCGAAGTCATAGCGGTGGAAGCGGCGGGTTCGAGCAAAGGGAACAAGATGAATTTCGATAACGCCGATAAGAAGCACGATCTGCAGGTGACCGATAAACAGCGCGTGAGCAACTGGGATATACTCGAAGGCATGAAGAACCCGGCGCCTCTGTCGTGGGCTTGGTTCGGAGCCGTGAGGTTGGAACGAAAGGCTTTAGCCTGCGAGGAAACCTTCAGGTTGCTGAAATTCCATACGCACAATCTGCAGAAACCCGCTTCGCATTATTTGGATCCACCGCCTCTACCTCCAGAAGATTTGGAACCCATTCCCGATAAACCCGTAAGTTCTAATAATTTACAGAAGGTATTTTAATACTAATTTCAATACGTTTCGATAGGCCGATACGCCTTCTTCAGTGGACCAATCGCCTGCCGGTGCTATCGGTAAAGGTCGCGGAAAGGGTCGTAAACCTAGGAAACCTAAACCTGTTCCTGGGCCGATGCACGTGAATCCCATGGCGATGGGGCAATCGCCTATGGGACAAGGTCAACCTGGAATGCCGATGCAAGTTCAAGGTAATAACCCGCAAATGGGGCACAATATGGGCGCTTACGCGCAAGGTCCGGGACTGCAACCGCAGGGCCAGCAGTACGTGGGAAACGCCGGGCAGCAGAATTGGTACGGGCAAAATCCGCAACCTGGATACGGGTATCCTCCTATGCAAGGTTAGTAATTAGGATGATTTTATTTAAATTGGTGTTTCTAATTTTTTTTAAATGTATTTCCAGTTAATAGATTTGAAAGGCCGCCACCGCAAAACAACCAATCGAAACAAGCTCTCTCTAACATGCTTCGATCGAGGCATCCGATCAACTCTTACATACCGGGTATGCAAAATAATCCGGCGGCGCCCCAACAAATGGCTAATTATCCGCAGATGCAGAGGGGATTCCCCAGGCAACCGATGCGCCAACCTATCCCGAACACCATGCAACCTAATCAAGTAAATTCTCAACAACAAAAAACTTTAATAGATTTCTCATTATCTATCGTTTTGTAGGGCATGTTCCCGCAGCAGTACAGCAACATGCAAGCCGGCATGGGACAACAATACGGCAACTACGCCGGCAATCCTCAAACTATGATGCAAGGAAACCTGCAAAGCAACCAGCAGATGATGCAAGGCGCCCAGGGCAACATGTTCGCCGGCCAACAGCAGGGTTTCGGGCAGCCGCGGCCCGCCCAGCCGGACTACCGGCAAATGGGCCAGAACCCTCGCGCCGCCTACATGCAGCAAACGCCCAACGTGACGATGAACGCGAACATGAACACGATGGGCGGCATGGGCGGGCAAGCGGGCCCGGCGCCGCCCTATTCCCGCACGGCCGCCCAGGGCATGCAGCCCAACGTGCAAAATCAAACGCAATTCCAGCAGCAACAGCAACGGATGCGACTGATGGCGATGCAACAACAACAGCAGCAGCAGCAGCAACAACAGCAACAGGGCGGGCCGCAGGGCAACCAACATTCGCCCGCCATGGTGGCGCACTTGCAGAGACAACAACAGTTGAACCAGAATCCTTATCATCAACCCCCTCCATACAGTATGCAGTAATTTTAATTAAGCGTAATTATTTTTATTTAATTTATAAAATCTTTTTTAACTAATAAACGATAAGTATTAAAAATGAGGTTTGGTTGTTTATGTGCTCAAAATGAAATGAAAAATTTAGAAACGTTCGTGTTAACTTTTATTGGTCACACTATAAAAACATTTTATTTAGCTTTCTTAGACTTAATTTTACGCATGTAGAATTCAAGTTCCTTTCCTTCGAGGACATAACCGTCGGCCCTGCCGCATTGTCCAGGTCTAGATGCTAGGCATGCTACAAAAAAAATAAAATTTTATTATAAACAGTATTAAACGATAAAAAAATATATCAAATTAATAATAGGCATATTCAGAGTAACTATGACAGCAAATCATAGTTCACAAGGATTGTTCAAAACAAACAACCCTTAAAACGTGAACTCGCTAAAAAGAATCATCACTAATGGCGCATTATCATAGTTTATTTTATAAATTATTTGTTAACTCACCCAACAATCTTCCGGTGTGGAACTGTTCTTCAATCGCAGGCTCTACTTTAGCGGTTTTTTGCCTAGTTTCGTACTTCTTCTGTACTTTTTTGCTACGTTTCTTATTGAATATCTCCTCCTCTTCGGGCGTCTAAAAAACACAACATAATATAAACTAAAGAAACAGACTTAATTAAAATCAAAATATGATTAAAAATCAGCAGAACATTTTAATCATCTTGATCAGATGACACGCTTGTAGTCATCATATTACTAGTGAATAGAATATTCAAATGAACAGTACTTACCATTTTGGCACCCTTCTTGCGTCCCAATGGTAAGATGTAGTGGTTTTCGTACCATTGCCTGAACGGGGTAGCGTCAACGACGACAATAGCATTCTTTACCAATGTCTTGGTACGGACCAATTCGTTATTACTAGCGTTGTAAACGACATCGATAATACGCGTTTGACGGGCAGTTCCTTCGCTTCCCCAAGAGAAGTTTCCGGTGTCTAATCTTAGGGCGCGGTACTTCAAGTTGCCACCCCTTGTACGAACATAGTGGATCCTTCTGGTTCCTAGTTTGGTGTTAGCCGCCGGGCGACCTAATTCGAACTTCCTCTTCTTACGAAGAGGCTTCCTCTTGCCTCCGGTGGCCCTTCGTTTATGCCAATGATCTCGGCTAATACCTAAAAGAAAACAAACATTTAACCGCTGAACTCGTTACATTGAATGAAAACGGGGTTTAATTGAACTATCAGATCGCTGTGGGATGTTTTTGAGTCGTCAGCACAACACATCGGACAAAATTTAAACAGTTTATCATCACATACTTTGCTTTCAGTGAAAATTTGGTTATGTTTTTTCTAATATGAATTTCGTAAATTATAATTGTATTTATCAAAAACTAAACTTCAAGATCGTTAGATTGCTTCGTTTTCTTTCATATTCTAATTTAATAGTTGATTTACTTACAGGGATGATGGAAGATTATTTGAGAAATAAAACTTCGTACTTACCCATTTCGCACAAATAAACAGAAAGACTGAGAGGAAATTGACATCAACTGTCTTTGTCAAATGTCAAGTAGCAGTGATTTCCGATGTTCTTGCACAAATCTAAAATCCCCTAAAACCCCCCACATTTTCTTACAAATTTCGTTTACAACTTAAAGTAAGGGAGTATTCATATTTACATATCGACATATTTTTTATACTTTAACTTATCAATCGATAAATAATTAAAAAAGTGGTTTATAAAACGATCCAAATATTTCAATCTACTACCAAATATTGTGTTTGCCAACCTGTACGTCAACTGTCAATGAGAATGTCATTTTTCAGAATGACGTTTTGTTTATTATTAAAATGGCCGACGATATAGAAGACGATCAGTGGTTATACGGCGATACGCCGGATATTAGCGCTGCAGAAAATGAAACTACCGAGAAAGAACCACCTGAGTCCGAAGAAAACGTCCCCCAAGAGGATTCGGTATCGCAAGAAGTAACCTTTTACATCCAACGTACGTACAACCGAACATAACCTCATTATTAGTTTCAGCCGCCTGCAGACGATGGCCCCCCTGGCGTAGACGCCGAAGAAACCGAAAAAGACAAGGAAAATGAGGAGCCCGGCCCAGAGCCGATGGAAGACGGGGAAGTCCAACAAAACGGCGATGATAGCGAAAGGGAAGACGATGACGATGACAGTGATGATGATGTTAACGTTGTAATCGGTGATATAAAAGCCACTACGCCTTCGTATACATCGCTTAATATCAAGAGAACCGGTCTGCTTACTTCGGTCGATAAAAATAAGCAGGTTCAGCAACAGCCTACTGGGAAATTTGCTGTCGAAGAATTTGAGCAAATCGGTACAATTAACGGAGTACTAGCTTCCGAGTATAATTTAGATTCTTTGGAGGATAAACCTTGGAAGAAGCCCGGTGCTGATATTACCGATTATTTTAATTACGGTTTTAACGAAGATACTTGGAGAGCCTATTGCGAAAGGCAAAATAGGTTAATATTTTTGTATACAAGTTTTTATTCTATTGTAAACATTGTAATTTTTAGAATGAGATTAAATGAATCCGGCGCTGGCTTAGTACCGATGACCATGATGGCTGGCATACCCCGAGGTCCGGTGCCCATTATGAACGACAACAGTAAATACGGTAATAAATATTTAGGTACACGAAATTATTCGAAAATTTCTATTGGTAATCGTTGAATTCTTAGGTGGCAATCAGCAGAGGAACATGCAACAGCCAATCAATAAAGTCGATCAGGTGCCGAAAGTCAACACTATACAAGTAATGACGGCGGATCGAAGAGAGTACAGCAGAAAACCAGGATTCCCCGATATGACAGTACCCCCGCCCGCCACGTTCGAGCCCTACCATCAACCGGAATACGGCTTCAACCCCGAGCCGGAGCCTTTCTACGGCGGTGGTTACGAACCAACGCAAGACTCCCAATGGGGTAAATGGAGTAAGAATTTGTAGAAAATGTAGCGTAGCGCAGTGCTCATGTCGTATTTCAACAGGTACCGAACCTCCTCCCGGTTGGACACCGTCGGAATTGAAGACTTTAACGGGGCCCCCGCCGATGGGGCCTCCGCAAATGCATATGGGCTTGCCTCCTATGATGGGAATGAGGTCTCCGAATAGCAGAAGGGACTCTAGTCCTCACAAAGAAAGGGAACGGGATAAAGAGTCTAGGAGTCGATCGGAGAAGCCTAGGGATAGGGACAGGGAGCGGGAAAGGTGAGTTTTTTTTTCTATGAGAGGTTCAATTTATGAATTATTTTGTTGTGATAGATCTCATAGAAGGGAAAGATCGAGAAGTAGATCTAGAAGGCACCGATCCAGGTCTCGTAGCCCCAGTCATAGATCCCATAGGAAGAAGAAGTCCAAGAGGCACGATGATAGCGAGTAACTAAAAAAATGTAGGATTAGATAGTAGGTCATACCGTCATTAATTTTGTAAAAATTTCCTATTGCATTAAATAAGATTTTTTAATATTGAAGTTTTGTATTGGATATATTTGTACCTCAACTTTTGATTAATAGGTATAATAAATGCTTTTTCGTTGTATAAAATAATAAATTTGATGGTTGATTATGGGGAAAAAAAAGAAGAATAAGTGGCTGTATACCGAAAAATCGGTGTCCACAGAATTCAAAAATTAATCCGGGTTATCTATGGACAAATTGAATCCAAACAGCAACGTCAGCAACCTTCGATCGATAGGTAACATAGTTTTTTCTAAGAAAGCAGGGTCCGAGTGATTTCTTTCTTCTTACTTTCCCCCGTCAAATTATCCCGAAACATTCGAGAAAGCCGGGAATCAAGGATGGAAAAATAATCGATGAAGCTTCGGCGCATGCCCACCAGCTGCGGCAGATGTGACTGGAGGAAACCCGCTGTCACGCAGTCATTGTCAAAACAACACAATTTGTTGTGTGTCCGTGAAAGCTAGTGCATTCGAAGCGAGGAGGTGTTATATTGATTATATTCCCAAAATCGCGATTGTGACTTAACGAACTCAATAGAAACAGCATCCGCGGAATTCTCGCCGCACGTTCGCGTGCCGAAGAGAATGTAAAACTGGTTGTCATTCAGAATACAAAGACCTAACCTGCATTTTACAGTCGGCGTTTACGTTAATTTAAAACGGTGTTTACTATCAAACTAATTCGCAAAGTGTTTATTGAATATTACTGGGACCAGTAGTGTCGGTTCGGGTTATGTGAGTCTTCCCAAAGGCCGAAACCGGGACCACCAAACATCAATAATGTAAGTCCCAACACGCAAAAATTTTTTATTAGCACTTAATTTTTAGTTAGTATTGTGTGCGCCTACACGTAGTTTATTTATTGTTATTTTTTATGCTTGGTAAACACTTAAACCGTGTCAGTAATCCAACACCACTTTTCTGTGCGAGGAATGCTGTTATTGCTCGCTTTTCCGTCGGAATACAACGCAGGTAAGCAATAAATGTTTTTCGTTGTTTACCAACAAGTTTTTTTGCTGTCCGCAGAAGCTTAAAGTCTACGCGGAAATTCGAGAATTGTTATAAATATTGTATTGAATTTGTATTCGGCCCGAACGCGGAGAGGTCAAGGTCGGCAAGGGGGCGGATGCTCTCGCGCTGTAATTTGCCAACCAACCCCCAATGTCACGGAATTACTGGGTACTTGCATTGTGAAATCGCCGGCTCGCTGTTTAATTTTTAAAACCCCCACAAGGTCGGATGTTATGTATATTATATAACTCTGCCTCGTTTTCCTGCTATTTCTGTGTTTGCATTGTGTGTTGGTAAAAAGGTATGTGCAATTTGCAATCGTTCTCGTATTGGTGGTTTATTATTTGAGTTACACGAGCAGTGCAGCTCGTAAATCGTCAATCGATTATGCTGCAAACGTACTTTATTTATTTATTTGTAATACAATGATTTCGAGATATTTTTTTAAAACTGCGTAATTATGGGATATAATTTTGAATCAGGAGCAAATAAGCGAACCTGAAACATTTGCGATACTGTATCCTAATTTTTGTTGAGCTTGAAACAGGTAAAGAAACCAAGGTGGGACATTTGCGACCATTGACTCGGTATTCTAGGAATATACAGGGTGGCACATTAGTATGGATAAGCTCAATGTCTGTGCGACAGTAGATAATATCAAAAAAACTTCTTTACAAATGTTTTTAATACTTTTATACCCCACCCATCACCCATCCATTTTTCTTAATCTTTCCTTATGTTTGAATGTGCTTGTTTTTTTTATCCGAAATTATTAAAATGAATTTTTATCGCAATTATTATTGGATTAGAACAGATGAAAATGCGCGTATAAACAAGCAATAAATTGGTCTTGGAAAAATAATTTGTTGCTGAATTAATCTCGTTATCGTCGTTTTATCGTTTGTTAAACGAATTTTTCGAATAATTCGCTTTGATATTTTTTTTACCGTCGATATCAATCCAGAATCTTCGAATGAGATAACGTTTAATTTGTTTAAAATAATAAAAGACTCAAAAATTATGCATAACACTTGAAAATTCTTATTTATTCATAAATGTATATGGCACGTTACCTTTTATCTATAACATCGTTATCTCTTGTATTGACCCTCCATATATTTAATGAGCGATTATTATTAACAAATTCCATTATTTAAATTATTATCTATTTATTTCGTATAGCCCAAAATGCATTGGGCTCTAGCCTAATCAAATATACGCGTTAATTTTTTTAAAGTTTCTTATAATAAGGAAAATAAGATACCGCAGCAGTAACAATAGCATTTGGTAAAAATAATAAACTATTGTATTTTTCTACAAAACTCCCTAAATCGAGTATATTATACATATCTGGAATACTTTTTAATCGCATAGGTATATTCGTTTGCTATACAAACATTTTTTCATTTAAATAAATAACGACGAGCTTTATACGAAAATAAATTGCTAATAACATTTTGCATAGATAGCGTAAAAAATTAGAGGCATAATGTCAGCGTGTATTACAGTAATTACTGTTTTTTTGTGGGACAAAAATATAATATAAATAATACATGTGGGTATACCCATCAGAAATACCCGTAACAGTTTCATAATCCATTACGAGTAATAATTCGTGGGATTTTACTAATGCATTGGTCCTTCATTTACCAACATGGGGGAAAAAATTGGGTTTTTTTTTGATGAATTCCGAGATGAGGACCTTGTAAAATATTCCCCATTTCTTGATATTCCCGCTGCTTTTCCGCCGTTTAATAATACAAGAACTCGCGTACCGAAAGCGCCTCGCGGATCTCCTTTTTTATTCATTTCCTCTCGAGTTTTCCGGAGCGAAAGTCGGCCGGGCCGGTTGATTTAAAGGAGTTTCTACGGTTGCAACGCTCGAACACTTCAAGGTTGTTGCGAAAATTTACGGCGGGACTCCAAAGAAGTTCCATTTGAAGTTTCCCACAGCAGAAACTGAAATTTCCGACGAGTCTTTTAAAGTTTGATCCGCACTTCGGTTTCGTTTTTTTGCTTAAATGCGCTCTTGTAGCTGTGGATTCATGTATCAGATATATAAAAAAATCGATTCCCAACTCTTTTCTGTCATAGGAAATGTCGATTTTGACTGTTTTTGTTTATGTATCATCGAATGCATCTTAAAGTCCTACTTACATAGAGTAGAGTACACTGGAGTGAAGCGGGATATGCAGGTAATAACATTTTTAGTGTTCAGATAATATCAGGTAACATTTCTCTTGCTTCCTGTTTTGATAAAATACTGCTCTAAGAATTTTATTCGAAGTTATTTCAATTCAGGGATTACTAAATATATTAAACCTATAATACCATACAGTTTTCTACATTCAAAATCCGCATATTCTTTTCCAATATCTACATTTTTATTGATACTCCCGTAGGTAGAATGGAACACCTGGCACACATCAAATAAACAAATTAAGCCGATCATTTCCAACATACACGAAGATCATTTATCCATCTCTCGGCCTACATTTCAGGCATTACACGTTCCATTTCTATGATTTATTTATCGGCTCGGAAATAACGAAATGTGTGTGTGTGTGTGTGTAATATCGTTGGAAAAAGAGTAGATATCTTTCGGGAGCGGAAAAATTGATTGGAACCCGACCGACCCAGTTTCGGCTCGACGGGCCGTACACCTTCAAGGTCGCCGCCGCCGAGCGGCGGCGGTGTTACGGCCGATCGATTAGGCCGCTTTAAAAAATTGATGCGACGCGAACGGGGCGAAAGTTTTCCACGGGAAAATTCCCCGCTATAGCGGTATACTACCTACTTTTCCCAAGGATTTGAAGGGTCACTTTCGTTGTGTGGAAAAGCGATTTTATACCTGGATTTGTTGGGTGTATCGTAAAAAAAGAAGAAGAGCTTCTTTGAGGGCGCTCGACCTAATATTCTTCGAGAATCTTCAACTTAAATATTTGACCTACTCTATACTGGAAAATGTGGAAGAAAATTACCCCAATCACCCCTACTACAAACTATAAGTTGGATATTGGAAAAATAATTCGAATCGTCTAAATAAGTTTTGTACACATTAGAATATTTCCTCAATTGACTTCGGCGACCTCGCTAATGGAGCATAATGAAAGTATATCGTTCCTTTTAAATTGTATCGCATCTGATGTTAGTCGAATTAATAAATTAATAACAAATAAACGCTACAAAAATATACTAAACGATAACATATCGCGTGCCGTTTAATCGCCAATCATGTTCGATTAACATAACAAATTAGTCCTGCGAGAAAATACACAAACTTACTACACCTCTAATATGCGTTCTATCGCCTTGAATCAATAGGCTCGTAATAACCTTCACCCTCTGAAGATGTTTGCATACCTACCGTAAATAACCCCTTTGCTCGTGTATTACGTTCGAACATAACGCGGAGCTCGACGGGAGACTTCCTGTTCGGATCACAAAGGACTCAAGGTCGCCGGGGGACGCATCCTTCGAGATTATCCGGTCCTCTTCGGAGAGACTTATAAAAGCGCGCTGTCGTCCGTGAAAAATGGAAAACTACACGAAATACGTTAGCAGGAATTTCGTTTCCATGTAAATAAGGCCCCGGGAAAGTCCTGAAATGCATCAGTGCTGGTGCGGAACCGAATGATAGATTATAGTTAGTAGGTCCGTGAAAATTTGACATTTATGACATTTCGTATGACAGAAGTTTAATAGAGATGGGAATCGATTTTTTGGTGTAAAGGTGCAGTAACGAGTGTTACAAAATAACCGCTATTTTTCGAATATCGTTCTTATTTGGGTATTGTAATTTTTTTGCTTTTTTATAGGGGGTTATATTTTTGTGTGTAATTCCGGTGCACCCTCAAGTGTATTCTGAAAGTTTGACCACACAAAAATTATAATATATTAAATGGAATTT